TTACTTAAAGCTTCACTGCACAACTTTTCTGGCGGAGGGTCCATTATCCAACATGTCTGAAAATTAAAATGTTGTTGCTTTGTTGAGAATGTTCCACAATACAGATGAATCTATCAGAAGGGAAACAAGCAGGTTACAGCACTGCAGTTCTGAAATTACAGTTCAGATCTGTGGAGAGTCACACTATTCACAGAAGGAATGAATGGATTTTTGAGCAATAGAAACACCCATAATGAATAATGCAAGATGTACATGGAAAATCCAGTAGCGGATCCTCCACCAGAAAAGTTACACAGTACACCTTTAAGTAAAAGTCCTCAGTCTCAGGTCCTCAGGTGGTCTTCTTTTAACTGTCCCAAGAGTCCAAACTAAACCTCACAGTGCGGTGTCTTTTAGCTTTCACGGCCCTCGTCTGTGGAAGAGTTTGCCTGAGGATCTGAAGTCCTCTATGAGTGTTCATATTTTTAAAAGTAAACTCAAAACATATCTTTTTAATTTAGCTTTTAACTTAACATTTTACTTGTTTTAACTTAAATGATTATTATTGTTATTATTATATTTGTTTTAAATTAAATTATCATTACTATTTTACTTAGTTTCCATCTGATCTTAGCTTTTCATTTTATTTTTACTGTAACCTTTAGGAGCTTTATTTTTATGTTTTATGCTTCTGTTTAAATTGTTATTTATATGGATGAAACAAGGGGGTGGGGTTGCTCTTGTTTTTAATCATTGTTATTTTTCTGTTGCATGTGAAGCACTTTGTGCTACATTTCAAATGTATGAAAAGTGCCAAAAATTTCAAAGTACAGATATAGAATCAGATACTATATTATTTTATATATTATTTTTTTATTTTTAGATCAATGTCAAACCCCTTTGCAGGTCTCAAATTACAAAAAAAATAAAAATAAATAAAAAATAAAAAACTTTTAATTTAACTTAAGTTCTTTCCACCACTGCCTTTTTCTATTGTTTGTGTTTTTGTGTTAATTCCAGACTGCGATATCATCTGAAACCTGTTATGACCCATGTTATTTGGTTTCAGATGATCTTACGTTTCACAGGCTATTCATGTTTAATACAGATGGAGGGGCATAAAATAAATATTATTGAAATGCAGAGTTTTGTCATAACACAAGACGTTAGTGAAATAATCAGGTTCAACGTTTGTGTATTTTACCGTTTGGATATTCCAAGGTAGTACAATGTTATCAATGTTGTCTTTTTTCCCCATCAAATTTATTGCATATATGTACAAATTATTATAAACAAATTATTCTAAACAATATACACAAAAATTACAACTAGTTAAATGATTCAGATTTATAATTTCAGACAGGAGAAGCTGCTCTTGTCCCTCATCTGAGAATATGACAACATCACATTCTAAAACCTGAAAACCATCTCTATAATCCACAGCCAAATGAAGTAGAAAGTACAGATACCTGCGCTCAAATGTAGTGAAATAAAAGTAAAACTATAGTTAAGTAAAGTACAGTTCTTGTTACCACTGTCTGTATCTATGAACTTATTTTTATTCCTCCACACAGGGACGCTCCTCATCCCTATAATCCACGGCCAAATGATGGAGTACCGCTTCATCAACGTCAGCATGAACTGGACTCAGGCTCGACAGAGCTGCAGAGAGAACTACACTGACCTGGTCACAGTGCAGACCCAGCAGGACCTCCAGCGCATCTCCGTGCCTGATCTGACGAGTCCGGGAGCCTGGATTGGACTGTTTGACGATCCGGCCTCGTGGTACAAGGTCATGAACACAGACGCTAACTCCTGGAGATGGTCCGCCACTGGGGACATCGGCACCACGGGGTACACGAGTTGGGCTGCTACGGAGCCACTCTTTAAAAATGCACTGCAAGTTTGTACCACTTTGTGGAACAACAACTGGCATGACGAAGACTGCAGTAGGGGCTATAGACCAGTTTGTTACACAGGTAAGGTATAACGCAGAGCAACATGATTCCAATCACTCATAATGTTTTCTACAGAGTTGGTTAAAGGTCTTTATATTACACAAAATTGACTCCTGTGAGCTTTATAATGTTGTTACCTCATTACAAACACACCCAGAGTTGTGTTTTGTTTCATTCACACATGCTTGATTACCGTATTTTCTGCACCATAAGCCTCCAACCCCATCAAAAAATCACTCCACGCCGACGAGGAACGAAACGGAGGAACGAAACGAAAAAGCGAGTGCAATGTGCCACTTCTAGACACGACTGAACAACTGCGTCACTGCGAACACGCCGACAATCCGTTGGTCCCAGACAGCACCCTCCCTACACGCCACAACTGAACAAAGCCCAGAGTCACCGTGAACGACCAAACAAACAAAACCACTCACTCATCACACTGTTGTGTTTCCTTTAAAGTCCAGTGTGGTTTATTTGTGACAAAAGTTTGAAAATAGACCATTCAGTGACAGTGCGCCTTATAATCCAGAGCACCTAATACTGCGGAAAATACGGTAACCCTTTATTATTATTAGTTTCTCTCTTTCTACATCTCCAAAGCTCTAAATGCTCTGTTCCACCTTGTGATGTCATGAAGCGGTAGTTTTCATGTTAACAGCTCTCTTTTACTTTTTGTTCAGTAGAGAGTGGGCTGAAAGTATCCGAATGATTTTACTGATTGTGTATGAAGTTTTAAAACACAGTAGAGTGCTTCTTGTGTTACAACATGACATCACCAGGTGGAACAGAGTGTTTTCTGTTTGAGAGAAGAACTCAGCCTAAATGTGCAGGTGTGTTAAACATGTGTGAATGAAACAAAACACAACACAACATGTGATGAAGAAACAACATTATAACAGATCTGAAAATAGTGTGTGGGGGGTGAGAAAAGAGAGACAAAGAGAGGCAGAGAGAGAGAGAGAGAGTGAGAGAGAGTGAAATACAGACACAAAGACAGAGAGAGAGAGAAAGAGACAGACAGATGGAGACAAAGAATGAGACAGAAAGAGAAACAAGGAGAGAGAGACAGAGACAGAGAGAGAGAGACAGAAAGAAAGATAGAGAGAGAGAGAGAGACAGACAGAGACAAAGAGAGAGAGACAGAGACAGAGAGACAGAAAGAAAGAGATAGAGAGAGACAGAGACAAAGAGAGAGTGACAGAGAGAGAAAGAGGGACAAAGAGACACAAGAGACAGAGACAAAAAGAGAGTGACAGAGGACAGAGAGAGAGAGAAGATATATATACAGAGAGAGAGAAAGTGACAGAGAGAGAAAGAAGGACAAAGACAAACAAGAGACAGAGACAAAAAGAGAGTGACAGAGAGAGACAGAAAGAAAGAGATAGAGAGAGAGAGACAGAGACAAAGAGAGAGAGACAGAGAGAGGGACAGAAAGAGAGAAACAGAGAGAGAGAGAGAGACAGACAGACAGATGGACAGAGACAAAGCGAGAGTGACAGAGAGAGAGAAAGATGAAGAGAGTGAGACGGAGAGTGAGAGAGAGAGACAGAGACAAAAAGAGAGTGACAGAGGACAGAGAGAGAGAGAAAGATATATATATATACAGAGAGAGAGAAAGTGACAGAGAGAGAAAGAGACAGACAGACAGACAAAGAGAGAGTGACAGAGAGAGAAAGAGGGACAAAGAGAAACAAGAGACAGAGACAAAAAGAGAGTGACAGAGAGAGAGAGACAGAAAGAAAGAGATAGAGAGAGAGAGAGAGACAGAGACAAAGAGAGAGAGACAGAGAGAGGGACAGAAAGAGAGAAACAGAGAGAGAGAGAGACAGACAGACAGATGGACAGAGACAAAGCGAGAGTGACAGAGAGAGAGAAAGACGAAGAGAGTGAGACGGAGAGAGAGAGAGACAGAGATAGAGACAAAAGAGAGTGACAGAGGACAGAGGAGAGAGAAAGATATATATACAGAGAGAGAGAAAGTGACAAAGAGAGAAAGAGAGAGCGAAAGAGACAGACAGACAGACAGACAAAGAGAGTGACACAGAGAGAAAGAGGACAAAGAGAAACAAGAGACAGAGACAAAAAGAGAGTGACAGAGAGAGAGAAACAGAAAGAAAGAGATAGAGAGAGAGAGAGAGAGAGAGAGAGAGAGACAGACAGAGACAAAGAGACAGAGAGAGGGACAGAAAGAGAGTAACAGAGAGAGAGAAAAGACGAAGAGAGTGAGACGGAGAGTGAGAGAGAGAGAGAGAGAAAGAGAGAGACAGAGACAAAAAGAGAGTGACAGAGGACAGAGAGAGAGAGAAAGATATATATATATACAGAGAGAGAGAAAGTGACAGAGAGAGAAAGAGAGAGCGAAAGAGACAGACAGACAAAGAGAGAGTGACAGAGAGAGAAAGAGGGACAAAGAGAAACAAGAGACAGAGACAAAAAGAGAGTGACAGAGAGAGAGACAGACAGAAAGAAAGAGATAGAGAGAGAGACAGAGACAAAGAGAGAGAGACAGAGAGAGAGAAGAGAGACAGACAGAGAGAGTGAGACGAGAGAGAGAGAGAGAGAGAGAGAGAGAGAGAGAAAGAGACTGATATTGATACTTTATTTATCCTGAGGGAAATTCAAGTTTTGCTGCAATAATATTTCCACTCTCTTCTCAGGGTTTGTGTTTCAGTCAAAGGTCTCAGTGCAGTTTTACAGGAGGTTCAGGAGATCAGTGTCAGGACAGTTTGAGGAGAGGAAGAACCAGTAAAATGTCAAGTCTTTTTTAATCCATTTTCTTTTATTTTCCAGTCGAATCCTCCGTCAAAAACTTTGCAGTCAGCAGCACTTTGATGAGCTGGGATAAAGCCCTGGCCTACTGCAGACAGAACTACCATGACCTGGCCATGATCGAGACTCAAGCTGAAAACGAAGAGGTGTTCGCTTTGGCCTCCACAGGCTCCGTGTGGATCGGTCTGTACAGAGAGCCCTGGAGGTGGTCTGACAACAGCAAGAGCTCCTTCAGGAACTGGGCCACGTCCGAACCCAATAATGACCTCGAACAGGAGCATTGTGTGGCCATGGGCTCTGATCTGCTCTGGAAAGACGTCAACTGTGGACTCCAGCTGCCCTTCATCTGCTATGGAGGTAGACTATGTTTTTTTTTTGTTTTTTTGTGTGCTAATTCTCAGTGTCTAAATAAGCTACGTGTTTTATTTGTAGAACCGGTGACGAAAAATGTCTTTCGTTTGAAGCTTCAGAGCACAGCAGACCTCTCCGATCTCACCGTCTACAGTCAGATTATCACAGCAGTAAGTTTGTTATTGTGTTTTTGAGTTCATATGGAGGATTTTTTACTTGTTTTGAGTTGATATTTTGACTATGAAGCAATATTTTTTATTTTTTTTTAAAGGGACAGTCTGGACTTTCGGACCTAGGACCTAATTTCCTAGTGAGCCAGAGTGTTGGAGACGTGTGGAGACACTTTTTTAAATAGTCCATCCAGTCCTTGTATTTGCAGAAGTCGCTGGTGCTACGCTAGTGCATGTCAATGTCCATAGTTATCCTGCCACTAAAAACACTCGAAGCAAATCTATTATTACACCAGACTGTCCATGTGAATGTTTGTGTTGATAGAATAATTTTAGAAGTAAAACCAACCTTGCATTTGAAGGATTTTTGTCTGAGCAGCAGCAGCGAGTTGTACTTCCTGATAGAAAGCTCGGCAACTGCGGACTGATATATGAGAAAATAGTCCCTCAACATGCAACGATTCATGTGATGCAAGAAATGGATGGAATATTTTAAAAAGTGTCTCCACACGTCTCCAACACTCTGGATAACTAGAAAATGTCTAGGAATAGTCCAAAATTCTGGACTGTCCCTTTAACTTAGCAATATAAACACCTGAAATTGAAGATATTAAGGTCACACTGTGGAACATTCTAGTCAAGCTTTAGATGTGTAGATTGGTGAAACCTGTGGAACCCAGTGCACCTGACATAGACCGTTGCCCCAGTAGCACTGAAGAATGGGTCAAATGAGGTCAAATTACATTGTGGAATGATTAAGTGCACATTCACTAGCAACGACCGTGTCAACAACAACATAGAGCAGGGATGTCAAACATGCGGCCCGGGGGCCAGATCCGGCCCTCCAAGACCTTTAATGTGGCCCTCGGCTGATTTTCTACTAAAATATTTTAATTTTATTTTCTATAAAAATCTTGTAAATTTTCTGCGGTGTTTATCACAGCAGCGTCTCCAGCGCCTCTGTACGTGGCCCCTCCCACCAGAGCAGCACAAATGAAGACTTGTCTCTTTCCAAACGCTCTTAAAGGACGATCGTTTTGACTGTTGACCGTGACACACTCATCAACAAAATGTCAAAAATGAGAAAAGTGGAGCTGAGTGCAGGATTTTCCAAGAAAAAATTTACTTATTCCTATTTACATACAAGTTCATGTTAAAACTTTTTTTTTTAGTTTTTCTTAAAGTTTCAGGTTGTTCATAATATTATAATATTTTGTAAAAGAAAGAGTTCATCAATTAAAAAAATATTTCTGTAATAGATTTGTGTTTCTCTGCACAAATATTTGAACTTATTGTTATTTTTGGGGTTTATATGACATGAGTTTTCTAATCCGGCCCATTTGGGATCAAAGTAGGTTGGATACGGCCCCTGGAACAAAATGAGTTTGACATCCCTGACATAGAGTGAAAGACACAGTATGTAACATTTTGGTTGGGACTTCGTCAAATGTTTCCCAAAATGACATTAAACCGCTCTACCTTACATTTATTCAATTACAGGTGGTTTTATAGCACAAAAGGGGTTGTCTCTTCACAGAAATCTCCATATTTTTGCTATAATCTGTCATACTTACACTATAAATACAGATGTTCATTAATAAGCACTGTCCCTATAAAATAAATGAATTAAACTAATCATATTTTTAGTACAGTAAATTTAACTAATATTATAAGTGCTATTAATGTTCATCACCTAAACGCCTTTCTTTCAGGTATACTTTACAGCCCTACACTCAGATTTTGACCCATATTTTCTTCGTTTCTCTTTCTAGATCAACATGAAACTGAAAATTACTACAGCTAACTTCAAGATCGACTGGTTCAAGACTCCAGTGAAGCTTTGAATGAACGTGTGACTCTTCACATTCTCATTTTCAGTTGTGTGCAAATAGAGAACATTATAAAAATAAGCCTGACTGTAACCTGTGGTGTGTTTTAATGGGTTTGTAACTGGTTTAATATTATTTTGTCAAGATAAATGATCTTTAGGTCATGCATTGTAAAAGCTTAGACTTTACTGATCCACAAGGGAAATTACTTGGACACAATCGCTTTCATACTGTATCACTTTATATTAAAATAATAATAATATACGTGTTCCAGATTTTGCGTGCGACTGCTAGGAAACCTATAACAAGGAAATGGCTTAATTCACAAATACCAACACTGGATGAATGTTTTGAGATTGTTTATAATATTTTTAAGATGGAGAGAATTACTTTTAATATAAGACTGCAACAAGACAAATGTAAGAACAAGTGGAAATGATGCACTTAATTTATAAAAACTGTAAGACCAGACTTTGTTTGACCCTTTACTTTGTTTTTCTCGCAATTGATTGTAATAATTATTCATTTTTTAATTCACCCATTCCTTGTAAGTATCAAAGGCACACTCCAAATATTATATTAATATATAATAATAATAATAATTTATAATAATTTATTATTATTATTCCCCTCCTTGAAGCGTCACCTTATCGTGGTGGAGGGGTTTGAGTGCCCGAATGATCCCGGGAGCTATGTTGTCGGGGGCTTCATGCCCCTGGTAGGGTCACCCAGGGCGGCGGGCTGGTGTGGGCCTGCTCATTGCCCCACAGCTCAGTCGCTGTGTGTTGGAGTTCACCCCGGTGAACGAGAGGGTCGCGTCCCTGCGCCTTCGGGTCGGGGACAGGTCTCTCACTGTGGTGTCGGCCTACGGGCCGAACAGCAGTGCTGAGTACCCGGCCTTCTTGGAGTCCTTGGGAAGGGGTACTAGACAGTGCACCTGGGGGACTTCAACGCCCACGTGGGCAACGACAGTGACACTTGGAGAGGGGTGATTGGGTGATCTGAACCCGAGCGGTGTTTTGTTATTGGACTTCTGTGCTAGTCACAGTTTGTCCATAACGAACACCATGTTCGAGCACAAGGGTGTCCATAAGTGCACGTGGCACCAGGACACCCTAGGTCGGAGGTCGATGATCGACTTTGTAGTCGTGTCATCTGACCTCCGGCCACGTGTCTTGGACACTCGGGTGAAGAGAGGGGCTGAGCTGTCAACTGATCACCACTTGGTTGTGAGTTGGGTTCGCTGGCGGAGGAGGAAGCCGGAAAGACCTGGCAGGCCCAAGCGTGTAGTGAGGGTCTGTTGGGAACGTCTGGCGGAGCCCTCTGTCAGAGGGACCTTCAACTCGCACCTCCGGGAGGACTTCTCCCGGATTCCGGGGGAGGCCAGAGATATGGAGTCCGAGTGGGCTTCATTCTCGGCCTCTATCATCGATGCAGCTGCTCGGAGCTGTGGGGGTAAGGTCTGTGGTGCCTGTCGCGGCGGCAACCCCAGAACCCGGTGGTGGACACCGGAAGTAAGGGATGCTGTCAAGCTGAAGAAGCAGTCCTATCGGGCCTTGCTGGCTCGGGGGACTCCTGAGGCAGTTGATGGGTACCGACGGGCCAAGCGTACTGCAGCCCGTGTGGTCGCGGAGGCAAAAACTCGGAGCTGGGAGGAGTTCGGGGAGGCCATGGAGAAGGATTATTATTATTATGTTGATGACTTATATTTGATAATCTTATATTATCTATTGGACAAGCTGGTCAAATACTTAGTGTTTTGTGGTGTAATCAGCCGGCGTTTCCTCCAATACCTGTTAGATTTGGAGCTGTAGAAAGTCTCAATGGAAAATGTCAGTCTCTCCATGTCATAAATTTCATTGGAACTACTGTTGTTCATCCAGTCAGTAAATACAGGTGCATCTTTACACAACCATTTCCTGGTAATGGCTTTCTTTGCTCCAGCCAATAGTAATGACAAAAGATATTTATCTGGGACTGAATAGGTTCAATCAGCATCATTAAACCATTAACCATCTCTGACACACTGGTACACAGTGTTGGGAAGGTGACTTTTTAAATGTATTCCCCTACAGATTACAGATTACATGCCCCAAAATGTAGTTTGTAACAGAGTCAGTCATTAAATTACTTTAAAGTGAAGTAATGGTAATCTGAATACTTTGGATTACTTGATTTGCTGTAGAGAAGCAAAGACGAGGAAATCTTCACATAAGATGTTTTATCTGCTAAAAGAAAATAAAAAGCCCAGACTTTACTTAACCAAATTAAAAATATTATTGATAGAAGAAGAGGAGACACGGTCCACAAAGCATGATTTAGTCCTGTTAAATCCTGTTTTTAAATCCTGTTTTAGTCCTTGTTTAGTCCTGGTTTAGTCCTGGTTTAGACCTGGTTTAGACCTGGTTTAGTCCTGGTTTAGACCTGGTTTAGTCCTGGTTTAGACCTGGTTTAGACCTGGTTTAGTCCTGGTTTAGACCTGGTTTACCTGGTTTAGACCTGGTTTAGTCCTGGTTTAGACCTGGTTTAGACCTGGTTTAGACCTGGTTTAGACCTGGTTTAGACCTGGTTTAGACCTGGTTTAGTCCTGGTTTAGACCTGGTTTAGACCTGGTTTAGACCTGGTTTAGACCTGGTTTAGACCTGGTTTAGACCTGGTTTAGACCTGGTTTAGACCTGGTTTAGACCTGGTTTAGACCTGGTTTAGACCTGGTTTAGTCCTGGTTTAGACCTGGTTTAATCCTGGTTTAGTCCTGGTTTAGACCTGGTTTAGTCCTGGTTTAGTCCTGGTTTAGTCCTGGTTTAGACCTGGTTTTAGACCTGGTTTAGACCTGGTTTAGACCTGGTTTAGTCCTGGTTTAGACCTGGTTTAGACCTGGTTAGACCTGGTTTAGTCCTGGTTTAGACCTGGTTTAGTCCTGGTTTAGACCTGGTTTAGACCTTTTAGACCTGGTTTAGTCCTGGTTTAGACCTGGTTTAGAGGTTTACCTGGTTTAGTCCTGGTTTAGACCTGGTTTAGAGCTGGTTTAGACCTGGTTTAGACCTGGTTTAGACCTGGTTTAGAGCCTGGTTTAGACCTGGTTTAGTCCTGGTTTAGACCTGGTGGTTTAGACCTGCTTCAGTCCTGGTTTAGACCTGGTTTTAGACCTGGTTTAGACCTGGTTTAGCCTGGTTTAGACCTGGTTTAGACCTGGTTTAGACCTGGTTCCTGGTTTAGAGAGACCTGGTTTAGACCTGGTTTAGATCCTGGTTTAGTCCTGGTTTAGACCTGGTTTAGACCTGGTTTAGACCTGGTTTAGTCCTGGTTCAGAGCTGGTTTAGACCTGCTTCAGTCCTGGTTTAGACCTGGTTTAGACCTGGTTTAGACCTGGTTTAGTGTCCGCTGCTGGTACATCATTCTTTGGTCGTGTTGGACTCATATACGGTCTCGGGTTGGCCCAGTCCTGTAGGCGGCGACAGCGCTTCAGTTTCGTGTCTCCACCAAAGCGCACAGAAGAACACCTATCATCCGTCTGGATGTTGTTGTTGTTCTCGGGTCGAGCGGCACCTTTTGCACCTTCTCCGCTCCTCACGCGCAGAACATGCATAACTGGCAGGACCACGAGATCCGCGAGCTGCTCCGGATTCGCGCGCACGAGCAGTTCCGTGGCCAAATAACGGGGACCGTAAAGGACGCGGTGGTTTTCAGCACGATCGCGCGACTGTTGGCCCAGCAAGGCGTGCATCGGTCCCGGGACCAGGTCGTCAGCAAGCTCAAGAACCTAAAGAAGCAGTACCGGAACTACAAGGAGCAAATCTCTGCAAAAGGAGGAGACAGATCCGCTGCGTACTGGCCGTTCTTCGAGGAGGCAGAGCGCGCTTTTGGGGATCATCCTTTACCCGCGGAGCCACCGGACTCTCTCGCCCCGATCACAGAGCGTCTGGACTCGGCTCCGGTGCCCGCGTCCGCCCCGGTGCGAAACCAGCGAGCTGCGTTTGACCAGGACGAGGCTGAGCAGGTGGTGGTGGGGAACTGGGGCGAGCAGAGCCAAGGACCGACCCCGAACCAGGGCACGAAACGGGAGCAGGCGCCGGTGGAGGAAGACGAGGATGAGGAGTATGGGTCTCCAGAAGAGCCGGTCCAGTCGAGTAAGGAATCATTGAAAGATCAGAATATTGTACTTATTTAATGCACTACGTATTTTTTTTCTGGTGCAGGAGGGTCCACGCTTGACAAAATGCCTTTCCACAGTACAGTATGAGCAGTGTTGGGAAGGTGACTTTTAAAATGTAATCCCCTACAGGTTACAGATTACATACACCAAAATGTAGTTTGTAACGTAATCCGTTAAATTACTTAAAGTGAGTAACGTAATCTGAATACCAGATTAGAAGCAAAGACTAGAAAATCTCAACGTAAGAAGTTTTGTCTGCTAAAAGAAAATAAAAAGCCCAGACTTTACTCAACTAAATTAAAAATATTACTGATTGAAGAGGAGGAGACACGGTCCACGCAACATGATTTACTCCTGTTAAAACCTGTTTTAGTCCTGGTTTAGTCCTGGTTTTAGACCTGGTTTAGACCTGGTTTAGACTATAGTCCAAAATGTGAAAACAGGAAAATAAAGCCATGTAATCTATTTATTTTAACAAAGTAACTGTAATCCAATCACCACTCACTGAAACAGTACCTGTAACTGAATACAGTTACTCATAATTTGTACTCTGATTACGTAACTCCGGTACATGTAATCTGTTACTCCCCAACACTGAGTATGAGGCATTAAATCATTTTATCTCCAAATAACAGGTCAGACCTCTGGAAAAATCGCTTCACTCATAGTAAGAATACTTGTATCTACGTGTTTTCTGCACAAACAAAAAATATAATTAACTAAATTAATGCTTAATTGATAATTTTAATTAGGAGACATTCAATTTGTCAACTGGGCAAATGCTTATTTAGGTCGAAAATGTTTTGCAGCTCATCCAGGTTGCTTCTTCAGTTCTGGTCAGATGCTTTTGGATACTTCCTTATATCCCTTTATATTAATGCCAGTCTGTGGAACATTCAAGCAGGTGGTGGCACTTTAAATGTCAATACAGATACAAAATTGTGTACCTTGATCATGGTATTTAGTTTTTTTTCTCCACTTTACAGTATGACGTGTTTTGGAAAATGTCCTTTGCAGTGACCTCATACTGGGGGTGGTCTACATGTGTGTCCATTAGAGTGTTCATCAGTTACCATGGTGACACAGTGCACACATTAGCAAACACTGTCAGAAGTTTTAAGATAAAAAAAAACAGAAAACGCACACCAAAGTTCTTGTAGTTCTTGTAGTTCTTGTGCAAATGAAAGGAACAGCAAAATGAAAGTGAAAAAATGTGTAGCACACTCAGACGCCCGATGTCTAAAAGCTTTTTAAATAACGTTCCGGCAAAAAAAAGCCTTCGTCAGATATTTTTCTTGCTTTGGACCACAGTATATGAAGTATATGAGAAGTTTTAAGATCGTCTGAAAACTCAACATGGATTTAAACAACACATTTTCAGGAGCCCGTGATCATTTCGAGTGTTAATGGTCTTGTTTAGGAGTTTGATTTTCTACAAAAAAGTGAGAGTGACTACCTGAAAAAGCAGGTTTTTAACAGCGCAAATCATCTCACCTGTTGTAGTTCCAACCAAGTCAGCTATTTCCGGTCCGATTGTGTTCAAATAAAGCTCAGATTAAAGTCTAACTTGAGTAACAGAGCTTCAGACAGAGCAGAGCCTTCACTTAGATTCACACTCCCAGGGAATTTTGATGACATCTCCTGCAAAGTTTCAATTGTCTCAGGAGCTTGAAGTCATTTGGATCTTTACCCTTTTTGTAGATAATGAGTGCGTATACATGCACATCAATAACCCGGTTATTAGCCATATCCCGGTTATGTCAGTATTCGGGTTACTGTGTTTACATGCGCACTGAGAAACCGGGACACTCATATCTGCGTATACATGATCAAATGGAGTATCCCGGTTCCTTGACATAATCTTACAAATGCGCAGGCGCAAAAATTAACTTAAATCAATTTCATAAACCAGGAAAAATACAAACCGTGAGCTCCTTTAGCATAAGAAGCTAAGGAGCTACGAGATCTCCCACAATCCACTGTGCAGATTCTTCATTAAAATCTTCTGCATAAATAAACTCTACTTTACAACATATAAACCATAAACACTATAGACACATCAGCCCGTTTGATCAGATCATTCAGCTGTGATCACATTTGTTTACGTTTTACAGAAACGAAACTTAAGACCGTTTGTCTAATTAGCATAAACTGTTAGCGGTGATAAAAACAACTCGCTCCTTGCGCCGCTGATGCGATCAGTTTTTTTTGGACTAAATGACACGACTCTGTGGATTATGTGAGTTATTTCTGTGACAGAAGAGGCGCTAATGATGGTAAGTGTGTTCTGTGCGTATAGAGTATAGGAGATAGTTCATGTTTTAGCTTTTCAGCGTCACACGAGTGCAGGTCGTACGAGTGCAGATTGTACATGTGCAGGTTTAGCGCAGCTCTTAATTTTACAGTCATTTCACTCGTTTGGTCACTTTATTTATGTTGGTCAATTTATTTATGTCACTACTGTTGTGGTGAAAGGTTGGAAAGTGTCTTTTGGACGAATGCGCACTCAACTTTATGTTGCAGTAACCAGGGTACTGCGTATAAATGCCACAAGTATCCCGGTTACTATCGGAATAAACCAGCTACAGTAACCTGGTTTCTAATAACCGGGATACTGAAACCGGGTTACTGCGTATACATGCACCATCAAGAAACCGGGATACTCAAAAAACCCGATCATAACCGGGTTACTGATGTGCATGTATACACACTCAGTGAAGTAAACCACACCCACGACCAATATAATGTCTAATTTTTTTCTCCCCAGCCTGCGGTATCCCGACGAAGAAGAGGAAAACCACCATCCTGCACCAGGTGAACTCCATGATCAACGCCACCATGTCCAAGCTCCGGGAGATGGACGCGGCGATGCAGGCTCAGGAGGACGTCCGTCTCAAGAGGCTCATGGACCACGAGAAGGACATGCAGAAGAGCCTGATCCAGGAGATGTTAGCCCTGCACAGGACCGTCAGCGCCGAGAACCACCAGAGACACCTGGAGCTGGTGGACAGGGTCACGTCACGAGTACCACCTTCGTCGTCTCAGGGCGGGTTATGACGGCGAGATGGAGGTGGTGTGGACTGGAGCAGAAAACTGGGCCTGAAATGTTTTATAAGGAGGATTTAAGGTGGACAGATGAACGTAGGTCTGCATAATATTGGAAAATAAAAACAAATGGATCCTTGTTGTTTAAGATGCAAAATGAAAATGGAAAAATACAAAATGGATTGAAACAGGGTCCGTGTACCGTTCGTTCTTTTGAATTTCAACTAAGAACGAAAAACAATAAAATGGGTAAACAGTTTGTTATTTCATTATTCCGTTGTAGTGTCAAACAAAACAAAAAAACAGACTTCACCCTCTATTTCCAGGTCTCAGATGCCTATTTGGCCCGAGTCTGTAACGTAGTAACTGGAGGGCTATTGTTCTTCGTCGGTTTCTTCTTCTTATTTTATTTTTTTTTTTCTTGTAAACGATCTCAATTTGGAGTGCCTAAACGTTGACGAAAAGTCCCCAAACCGGGTATCAGTTCGACCTGTTGGGTGAAAAATTTGATAAAATGGGCATCGCGACAATGCCCAAAGCCCCCCCCACTCAACAGCGCCCCCTTGAAATTTCAAAATTTTAAAATGCATTGGAGGCTCAGACGCATATTTTGGCGTAGGTTCACGAAATTCTGAACAGTGATAGAACTCATGGCGACAAACAAAAAAGCCAATCATTGTGCACCTCTATGACGAACAGGAAGTCAGCCATATTGGATCAAATATTTGCCGCCGTTTTGACTTGGGTGTCTCCAAAAAGATTCAAATCCCCGGGGTTTGGTCCAAATGAGCTCAGATTTGACATGTCACATCTACAGACATAAACTCAGAAAAAAAATAAAATAAAATTGGGAGATACTCCTTACGGTTCGCCCGTAGCACGCCGGCGAAAAACACCTTCATTTCCTGTTTCTTCGGTGACCTGTCACGGCCACAGGCACTGACCTAGAGAGCCCAAATTCACATCACAAAAGTTAAAAGTTAAAATAGTGTTGCAGGTGGCATAGTGACGACAGGCACAGTGGAGGTTCTACTGCCACAGTGTCTGAGTTTGCCCAGCTTTTTTGGGCTGGTTGAGTGCAGATGACGTGTTTAATAATTTGCTGTTGTGTTTTATGTACTATGAAATATGCAGGTTTGTGGTTGGGTGTAGCAGACTGTTGGGATCTCTGCTGGAGCTGTGGACAAGGGTGGCACACTTCTGATCCACAAGCTTAAGCGTGTCCCTCTGTCCCCGATGTTTGGGAAGCAGATGATCAGTGGCAGTGTTCATTGGAGCGGGCCGGCGCCTGTGGTCCAACATAAAGACCCTCCCTCCTGCCTTCACTGGTGCAGTCTGGGCAGTAGACGGAGAAGACAGTGATGAGGTGTGGGTCCTGGACATAAACAAGTAAAATAGAATACATCAATATTTGAAAACAATAAAACTAAATCTATATTGGGTAAGGTACTGACTTCTTACCTGACTTTAGTTGAGGCTGAGTCACTGAAAGTGAGTGTTTCAGGTTAAGACATCAGTGAATTTCTTTATGAACCTGAGGACTGCACACTTCCTTTTGAGGATGAAGGCTGCGTAGCCAAGATCTCTGCTCTCCCAAACCTCCCTCCAGGTACTGCTGGCACGGACACCAGATCCCACCAGCTGCTCTTCCTCCTCTGCTGGATTGGGCATGGGTGTTGTTTGTGCCTCACGCTGGAGAAGAGAGGTGATCTCCTGGAAGCCGAGGGCAGAGCGTAGGAAGGACTGAAGACTGTCGTTGCTATACAGCTCAGCTATCACCGCTCCTGCGGCCTCCTCTATCTGCTGGCTCTGGATGAGGTACAAGGTGTAGCCCACATCCCCTCGTATTTCCTCATATTTCCCAAACTGGAGGATGTACTCCCCCAGCGCCTCAGATGGGTCAGAGGCATCTCCTCCTGTCAGACTCTTCCTTCACAAGGGCACTGTGGTCCCTCAGGGACGGATCGTCCTTGATCCTCTTGGCCTCCTCAGAAGGGTCCTGCCACAAAAAACAAAGTAAACAATGTTCTTAATTTCCTCTACAACGACAGACAAATATGTTTAGAAACATTATATTTAGACCCCTCGGTTGAATTCATACTACATGTACCTAGATCACTACTTCAGTATTAATTTCACTGTCACTGTATTATTTTTAATGTGTACTTATAAAGCCAAGATTTTAGCACTGGCACAGATACACATTTGCAGACAGAATTTTAAAATGACTAAAACATATCAGGTCTCTTAATAAAACTCACAGAATATCAAATGTGAGTAGTTCATTACATTTTTAGATAGCACAAAAAGTACTACAGGACTAAATAATGACTTATGAGTGAAATAGGATTCTGTAGCTATTCAAAGAAGAACGAATATGTGACAAAAACATGAAGACAATTGTTTTAATGCTGCATATCAACTTTAAACGCAAATGTGTAAGCTCCAGCACTCCAGAAGTGCTTTAGCGACTCGGATCATGACGAGAGGGATGTGAGCGTACTGGACGCCGTAATCACCCAACTGTTTGAATAATTATGAGTTATTGTGAATACACGAACAATTGAGCGTCTCAGACAGTATTTTTTTATGCGTTACAATTGAACAAAGTTGAGAGTTATTGTGAACGTGTTAAATAAAGTTTGACTGACTTATCTAACTGTTGTGTTTCGTTTAATGAGCCTTATAGTCCGGTGCGGTTTATATGTGAAAAAGTTAGAAAATCGACCATTCAATGACAGTGCGTCTTATAATCCAGAGCGCCCTATAGTGTGGAAAATACGGTAATTTAAACACAACTCAGTGTAATAGTATTCTAAATATTTGGAATACAGTACTTTGATTGAACCATGTATCAGAATTTGCAGCAAAAAATGTTTTAATTCAGGTATTATTCTGTATTCTGCAACTAAAATACCTTCTCAAAGTATTTTCCCATCTCTGAATATAACTTTCTTAAAACTACATTGCCTGATTTATCCTCAGTTTTCCTCAGTTCCCTGAAAATTACTGGGTACAAAATGCCAGAACAGCCTGCATCTTTTACACAGACCGAGAGAGGAATGTAAGCACCAGGAGCGTAACCAGGAAACCCGCCTCGTCACCTAGGAAACCATGCCGGTAACCGAGGAAACCGAGCTTGTATCCGTGGAAACCGAGCGTATAATCACGAAAACCCAAGCAGGGGCAGTGGTGCTGGTAATTTTCTGGGTTTATTCACACGTTTGTTCGCAGAGTTTTGTGATTATAACTTGGTTTGGCGGAGTAGTGCCTGTGGTAAAGATTAATCATATATTTTTTATGTCAGTTAAGTGTCAGTTTATGAAAAAAAAGGAGAAGAAAAGTACAAAAATACAGGAAGCAGCAGTGAGTTTTAATGCTTATGTCAATACAGAAAAGAGAAGGTTTGAGAGTTGGTCAAGATTGTAACGTGCAATACAGAGATACACATCCTGGTGCATTTTATTTTTAATTACACGATCATAAAAACTTTATAACTGTTTAAAAAAAAAAGACTGCTTATAATATATTAGGCCTATAGAATCTGTGTGTCATTCGTTCATTCGTTTTTCAGTGTAAAACCAAAATTAAGAAAACAAAAAAACAACTATTTTCTTCATTATTTGTCTCCAAAACCAAAATGAAAAATGGTTAATGATTTGGTTTTTTTCAGTTTTTGATTTTGTGTTTAATGAATAATGGAAAAAAATGGATAATGACCATTTCCCGTTTCCGTGACTTAAACTGCGAGGCCGGACTGAACCAGGACCGAACCAGGACTAAACCGTTTTCAGTCCCAGTCTGGTTCTGGTTCTGGTCTGGCCCCGGTCTTAGTCCCGGTCTCAGTCCTGGTCTCTGTCCCGCTCTGGTACTGGTCTGGCCCCGGTCTCAGTCCCGGTCTCAGTCCCGGTCTCAGTCACGGTCTGGTCCCAGTCTGGTCCAGGTCTCAATCACGGTCTGGTCCTGGTCTCGTCCCAGTCTCTGTCCCGGTCTGGTCCTGGTCTCGTCCCAGTTTCTGTCCCGCTCTGGTACTGGTCTGGCCCCGGTCTCAGTCTCGGTCTCAGTCCCGGTCTGGTCTCGGTCTCAATCACGGTCTGGTCCAGGTCTCTGTCCCGGTTTGGTCTCAGTCTCAGTCCTGGTCTTGTCCTGGTCTGGTCTCGATCTCAGTCCTGGTCTGGTCCCGGTCTCAGTCCCGGTCTGGTCCTGGTCTCGTCCCAGTCTCAGTCCCGGTCTGGTCCCGGTCTCGTTTCAGTCTCTGTCCCGGTCTGGTCCCGGTCTCGTTTCAGTCTCTGTCCCAGTCTCTGTCCCGGTCTCAGTCTCAGTCCTGGTCCTAGTTTCAGTTCTGGTCTGGTCCCAGTCTCAGTCCCAGTCTCAGTCCCGGTCTGGTCCAGGTCTCAATCACGGTCTGGTCCCGGTCTCGTCCCAGTCTCTGTCCCGGTCTCAGTCCAAGTCTGGTCCCAGTCTCAGTTCTGGTCTGGTCCCAGTCTCAGTCCCGGTCTCAGTCCTGGTCCTGGTCTCAGTCCTGGACCTGGTCTCAGCTCTGATCTTGGTCCTGGTCTTGGTCCCGGTCTGGTCCCGGACCTGGTTTAGACCCGTTTTAGTCCTGGTTCAGTCACGGAAAAAGGAAAACAGACGTTTTCCATTTTTTCATATTTTTTAAAGACGCTCTTTGTAACTTTTCTGTCTTTCCACCACTTTCTTGACTCCATGTACTAGTAGATGTTATTGTTTTTTTCCTGAAATGTTCTACAGTATGGCATTTACTTTAATCATCTCCACGGAGACAAGCAGGCCAGATAATTAGGCCGAGTTACAGCTCAGATCTGTGGAGAAGCGGGCCTACTCACAGTAAGAATACATGTCTTTGCGGTAGTTTTGAGAAATGAAAACGCCTGTAAATGAATAAATACAAGATATATTTGTTTAACAGCACACTGTGGAACATTCCAGGCAAAGCAGTGACATCACCATGGAGACAAAAATGAAAAGTTACACAGTGCACCTTTAAGATGGCCGTCTAATACAGAATTGACTCATTGAAAGTAACTGATCTAAAAAATTATAACATATGTAATTTTCATAACAGTTTTAAAATGGTTAATATTCTGCATTGAAAAGCTGTAATGAATTTACTTTGGGATAAAAAAAAAAATATTATTTTTATTTTTTTTTAAATAATCTGTCTATATCTACAAAATGTCTGACTTTATTCTTTTGTCTGTTAAATGTCCTAAAAGTTGTTTTGAGATATTTAAGTTTTTGGAGATTGCAAACTTCTGTTAAATTCTGAATGTATTTAATTCATTTAATATTTTCACTGACAATAAACAGACAAAACACATTCGGGTAATTTTGTTTTAATTATTTTATTTCTGTCTTACAAGGTCATTATAATGCTTTACTCTGTGTTTACACTGGACTCATTTCTTCGCTCCAAACTCAATGGTCTTAAATCCTGGGGGTGTGACGCTAACTGTGGGCACTGCTCTGTCTTTAATAGACTTTAATCTGAGTTTTATTTTAACACAATCTGACCAGAAAAAGCTGACTTGTTTCAAACTACATGAGAGGTTAAAAAAAAAAAATGGTAAAAGTATTATGTGCAGATTTTGAGATCTGTTAAAGCTTAAAATGTAGTGATTATGATACAGATTTGTGTTGAATTTTGTTCAGTAGAAACAATGGAATCAATATGTTTTTGTTTGTATATTTTTATTTGCTCAAACTACAAATGGGCCGGGTCAAGCAAGAAGTAAACAGCAATACCAAAAATTCAAGTTAATGCATCTGATATAAAAATGTATTGAACAGATACATATGTACTCTAGTTTATGAAACTGTTGACCTTTTTTCTGTACCATTTTTGGTTCTAAAGTTACATATGTTTTAAACAGACCATGTATGAAACATGGAACAAAAATTATTTCCCAAATTTCAAAGACCTGCAAATCATGTAAATAAATGGATGTATTTCATCATATCTTGTGTTATTCCATCTTTGAACTGTTGATGAAGGTACATGATTTTTAAAAAAAAAAAAAATGTATTTAAAATGATAAAAATTTGCTTGGAAGGACTGACATATTTTATAGAAATAGTTTCCTTTCATTTTGAAGTAATATTAAAGTATTCAGAAGAAAAAAGCGACAAATTATGTAAAATCCTGCACCTTCTACTTGTTTGCACAATTTTCCCTCTGTTACTTTTCCCTCCGTTACCATGAACTTTCTTAATAAAAAATCTCATGACTCAAAAAGTAAGAGGTTTTTCAACCTAATCTTGTACCATATGGTAGAAAACTATATGAAGCAAATATTCAAACCAGTTTGTTAAGGATATGTAAGTGAGAACCAAGAGTTATCACTGTTTGTATTTATTGCCCAAAAAGTGCTGCATATTTCATTCCCTCCGTTACCGACATGAGTTTTTAAATTTTTTGTCAACAACTTGAAAGAATATCACAGGTTTAACTTTACCCTGTTGGAGTGTAACTCTTTCCTACATTCTGATACTTTACTTATTTCAATAGTCCCTCTAGTTTCTGAATAAGAGACATTTGAATGTAAAAAATCTGCCCCTGTTTCCCTCCGTTACCACTTGACCGGATCCAAATGTGTTAAATTAAGCCCTCAGCCTTTTTAGCAGGTCTCAAACTATATTAAAAAAAAATACTTTTACTTTTTAGTCCAGTTCTAAATTGTAGTGGAGTAGAAAGTACAGATACCTGCTCTCAAATGTAGAGAAGTAAAAGTAAAAAGTTTCTACTTCAAAATGTACTCAAACTACAGATACCTATTTATTTATTTTTTTTAACTTAAGTACAGTACTTTATTTTTACTTTGTTATGTCCCACCTCTGCATCTAGGCCAGTCATGATAATTATATTGACTTATCTTTCAATATATGAAAGCTGGTACAGTAATATTTTTGGGTCAATATTTACATTTTCTATGAACTGCTGAGGTCATTTTTTGGCTATACAATAAGATTTAAGCCGTAAATTGTTGAATTAATCACATCTTTGACTCATTACAGATGAAAACTAAGTACGAAAGTTTTTCATTCCGCTGTTTATTTATATATATTTATATTTATAACAATATTGTAGATTTAGAATAGTTTTTGTGGTTGAATTCTGCTTTTTGGTTATTGTGTCAATGGCATAAATTCGTTTCAATATTATTGTTTATCATCTATATTTACTTCAACGATAAATCGAACTTTAAAGGTGCATTGTGTAACTTTTCAGGAGGGTTTGTTAAATGCCTTTCTCCATGGAGATGTTATTGCTTTGCCTGGAATGTTTCACAGTATGGCATTAAACCTTGCTATTTTTATGAAGACCAAACCAGACCAAGTTACAGGTCAGATCTGTGGAGAGGCGACCCCGCTCACCGTCAGAATGTTTGTTTTTCTAGGTATTTTTGAGCTATAAAACCACCTGTAATTGAATAAATGTAATGTAAAGCTGTTTAAAGTCATACTGTGGAACATTCCAGAGCCATGATATATCCATAGAAACAAGCAGAAGATGGACCCACAAACAAAAAGTTACATAGTGCAGCTTTAAAATATGTTGACGCGCTTAATCACATCACACATACAAAAAAAAAACCCAACATCATTATTCAAACATTTCTCATACAGTTTTTATTGC